GCAAGTACACTAGCTTATTGGAGAAGAGGGTCAATATTTACTAAAAAAGCATACAAATTAGGCAACTGAATCCAGTAAAAATTTGATGTTACCTTGGCTATCTTCTTTATTTTTTGGAGAACATATTAGGAAGGTCTAGAAGAGCATATATCCTCATAGCCAAGAAATTATTATAAAATCGTCTTGAAATCATCAGAATCCTTTTGAGTTAGTCTGGAGCATTACATGGAGATTGATTAATTATGTGATGAACTGAATTGGAGCTCCAATCATCAGCAATTCTAAAAAATGCCTTGCTGGAACTCACATTTTATATGGGAACATATTAATGCTACATCATTTATTATATCAGTGTAGCATATACAATACCTAATTGACATAAAGTTACTAACTACACTGTATTCAAATCTTATTTGGCCAGCAGACCATAAATGTCTGGGCAAGCAATGACAAGCATCTATTGACTGTTTTTGCAGAGCAAAATGAGGTTTAAATGGGGAGTAGGTTTCAAATGTCCTATCTAGGAAACAGTAGAGTGAAGTATGGCAATAGTTTTTCCCACATGCCAAACCAATTAAAACAATATTCGCGCGAAATTTTCATGCGATCATTTTTCCAAAACGGGATTGTACTTAAAATTATGAGCTATGTGAAAATCATATTACTAATGGATGCAACCCAACCACATTTTGAATTTTTTAATGCACACTTTTTTTGATTTCACAGAGTATGAGTTGCAGACTCAGTTAAAGATTTGAAGTTTAAGACTTACTTGTACCATGATGATTTTGCAAAGAATTTGGATGAAGCAAAAACAATGTCAGAATTGTATGATTATGGAGCACTTAAACAGCAAGTTGATCTACTTACTATTATTTCATGAATTTCTCAAAATACCATTGCACACTGTTGCCAAAGTTATTGTTTCATCATACAATTTATATGTTATGCCATTTGATATTGCCCCTAGCTTTCATAATACATATTTGTGTTCATGTGTGTTAGTCAATCAACTAGACTTTCCTTTGTAACTGTGTAGTTCTATTTTGTTTTATAATTGCCTTTATTGGTAAACGTGATTTTGTTTATTGTCAATAATTTAGACAGAACACAAGGCAGAGATTTTGATTAATTTTGTTACAAGCTAGAACATAGGTAGGTTTACTTAGAAGAATTAGAATATTCATCAAACTAGAAATATAGGCAAAAGAGATGGATAGTCTTAAAATAGGTAAACTTGAACACTTTATTGCTGTTTTGAATCCCAAATCTGTCTGTGGGATCTCAAACATTTTATGTAGCAATTTTTGCTAAGATAAACTAAAGGGCCTGGTACAAAACATGTGTACATTTATATAAATTATGTTTGTAATATAAAAAATACTTGATTTTAGGTGTCCTGTGGTATTATATAAAACTGGTGAATAAGACAACCCAGTTGTGTATGTACCATTAAAAATATTATACATTTCAAAGTTGAGGGTTGTCAAGTTTTTGTATATAGTCATTCTACTGGAATATACCCTACCTTGCCAGACACAATCTTCTCATAAATCTGTATAGGTTGGTCAGCAAAGAAAGGTGGATATCCAGCTGCCATCTCATACACGAGAACACCTAATGCCCACCAGTCCACTGCCTTGTTGTACCCTTTACTGAGGATGATTTCAGGGGCAAGGTACTCGGGCGTACCGCACAGGGTCCATGTTCGACCCTTAACGCGCTTTGCAAACCCGAAATCAGTCACTTTGAGGTACCCTTGCGAATCAATGAGGAGATTCTCCGGTTTCAGGTCTCGGTAAATCAGATCTAAGTAGTGTAGGTATTCGAATGCGAGGACTATTTGAGCTGCGTAAAACCGCGAATGGGGCTCCGAGAATCTGCCCACTTTCCGTAGATGGGAAAACATCTCACCACCGGGTACGTACTCCAACACCATATACAAATTGGAATTGTCTTTGAAGTGAAACCTTAAACTGACGAGGAAAGGAAAACTGATAGCTTGCAGGATACGTTTTTCGTTCAGTGTGTGCTCTACTTGTTTCAGTTTCACCACTTTCTGTTTGTCAAGAATCTTCATAGCATAGTATTCTTTGGTTGGTTTGTGTTGTACTATCATCACCCTGCCGAAAGAGCCCGTGCCCAGGGTTTTGATCCTTTCGAAGTCATCTAAGGCGGCGGTGTTAGTTGGATTTTTCTTCCATTTCTCCTCAAAGTCCTCCTTGGCCTGGTCGAGGAACTCCTTGACACTCTCGGCGGAGTCGACTTTTTTGTTAGCCGTTGCGGCATTGTTGCCCATGTTTTGGATTTGAACACCTTCCAGGGCTTCGGAATTGGCTGCTTCACTCCGCCCAAAGCACACCAAAGGCTGCAACAGGGGAGGCTGGTCGAATATGTCAGTCGGATAATTGTTTTGTGTCAACAGAAATTATGCACCAACATTTTTTCGGCAGTACGGCCGTCCGGAATCAGAACACTTTCGCGAATTTCACGGTGGCACAAACGCGACCCCGCACTGACTTTCAAATGGTTTCGAACGTCGGATATCCTTCAGGAATTTTTAGTCTGAATCCCACATAAAATGGCTACTATCGCTCGGAATCTGACTTCATTTGAGAACTAAAGGGAAAGCTCCCAATTCGACAAACTCGAAGAATTCTGCAAGCCTTTAGTGCTGTCTGATATCGAAGTTTTAGAACTTACACTGCTCGATCAAAGGTGGCTGTGAAAAAACTGTACATAGCGCCATCTGGACCTTAACTTGCTAATCAATTGTAGAGATGGGAGCCTCTGAGTTCAATCAAATCACTATTATATTGAACTAAAATAAACAGATTAAACAGATTACCCACGACAGATCTTGGATAGATAAAGTTTGCATTTATGCAATAAGTATTATTTGCTAGTGCGATATTTCTACTTACCTATTAGTAGCGCAAGAGTAAATAATGTTCTTTTGATTAGTCGCGGATAGCAGACTTCATATGAAAAAACTATTAACACACTAGGGTCTTGCACTTAAGGAGGAGTTCGCAAGTACTAAGGCCCGTATCGTCAGTCGTCCCTACAATTGTAGGGCGGGTTTATGGCCTCCTTAATTGTCATACTCCTTTCTCCCCTACAAAAATGTCTAGATTACACTTGTCCCGTGTCAGCGTCAGCGCTCTCCTATTGTGAAGATATGTTTTCCTCTTAAATTGTAGGAAATTTCAGGCTGATAAATCATGATATAACTCAAAAGCAAGCACAATTTGATGCAAATAGATGTTTGTGACATAACCTCAAAATAGAGCACTGACATGGAAAAATAGAAAACTATGACAATCAAGGAGGCCATAAAGGCGCCCTACAATTGTAGGGACGAATGACGATACGGGCCTTAGTGCCGTATAATCAGCCGTTCATACAATTATTGTAGGACGCCTTTATGACCTCCTTGATTTTCATAGTATTTTCTCTCCTTCAGAAAGGCTGGGGTATTTCTAAATATCTAATGATCCGTGTTAGCGTCAACGCTCTCCTATTGTGAGGAGATTATTTCTTCTTCAATTGTAGGGAATTTCAGGCTGATATAAATCAAAAGCCTGAACAATTTGATGCAAATAGGTATTTGTAACATAAGCTCAAAATAGAGCCCTGAGACGGGACCTATCAAAATCAAGGAGGTCATAAAGGCGTCCTACAATTGTAGGAACCACTGACGATATGACCCTCAGTTGAGGAAAAATTTTATTTTCAAACTGACAGTTAAAAGCTGAAGTTATTCGTATAAGACCTATAAGTTGTATCCCCAGCTTAGTCGTCGCTTTACGGGCCATATATAGGTTCGCAAGAGATTACATGCTCGGTTTAAGTTAGTATCAAAAGAAAATTGATCAGTTTAAAATGCTAGCTTCAAAAACCTTTACGTAGACAGCGATAGATGTTCTGATATCACATCTAAAAACAGCCACAGTAAGTAATTAAAGTATAACATCTATCTTTGTCTAAAACGCCATCTTGACTTGGTGTTGTGTGTGTTCGCGTGGCTGGATCTTATGACTATTTCGTCATACATCATAAACAGATGCCCTTGAACCTCAAGCGATGTTTCATGCAGGTCATTCTTGATCCTGCGTCATATTGCTATCATATTAATTTATTCAGGTTTAAATCATGATAACCGTCATCAACCGAAATAGCACAAATCATACGATGAGGTCATTTCCGGTGCTTCGGTTATCGTTATAAATATAAAGCGTTTTCCCAACTCTACACTTGTTATTCAAACAAAAATCTATTTTTATGTGCCAATAAACTGGAAATAAAAATATCTCTGTTGTTACCCGAAGCGATATTACTTTAACGGCGACATGCGGGTTGAGCACACAATATTTTATTTAAACATGATGATAAAATCAATAATGATTAGAGCGTCAGCTACCACGTGCTCAATAAGAATTTTTTCTATAAACGGATATAAATCCTATCCATAAAAGAATCATTGCGACGTATTGATCTAAATAATATAATAATAAATCTGATATATACGTATAATTTTAAAATCAGTCGTTCTAAGCGAAATGCTTGAATATAAAAATTGAAATCATAAGAAATTCCCTCGCTCTTCGGTTTACTCAATTTTGCACTGTTGTCACATTGCCGGATGTAACAACTTGTTTGAATCCTACCTACTTGTTTGGTTTGCAGATTTGATTCATTTGCATTGTATTTAGCAGATATTTCAATTTACTTATCAACTACCTACTGTATCAATGATCTAGAGCTCTACACTAACAAGCGATATCACTGATTTCATTAATTTGCATTATTGGATTATTCGGATAGGGCAACAAAGCATCTATAATATAGGACAAATTTGATAAAGAGCATGGATAACCGGTACTGAAGCCCCAGAAAAAATGATACATGTGGCAAGACCGCAGGTCAAAATTTTCCACTTCGAGGAGACGCGAACTAGAACGAAGCTTCGATCGTTATTTACCTTGGGCTGCCAACCAATCAGCGAGTCGCATAGCCAAGCGTCTTGTTCACTCGCTCGCTCAGTCCGGTGGTTTCGTTTCGCATTTCTTTCTCTTGCTCGTTTTGCGAGGTTGGCGCGGTTGTAAGTGACGATACGCTTACTGGTTTTGCAGATTTTTTTAGAAAGTAACCCGAAAAAAAACTAAATATAATGGCAGACAAGGCGCAAGCACCTACGTAAGTAATTTTACATAAGTTATTTGAAGATTTTTGTGTTATTTCATGCTAAAATCCCGTTCTTTGTTTTGGCGGCACGTCGGTAAAATGGCGGTCAAAGCTGTTCAAATGCCGAACTCGTGTTAGAAAAAGAAACTGGTGGTCATTAAAAGTTCTTTTATGTTAGTTTTTATGAAATCCTAAATTAGTGTTTACCATAGCGAGAAAATTCACAAGTTTGGATAAAGCAGTGCTGTAATTTTATCACATTACCCCTTTTTCATAGAAAATCCATATATTTAACCTTAATTTGTAAGGTGGTAAAGCACGCCTCACACGCGTCCTTTCTACACCTTCCCACATTTATTGGATTGTTCGGACACAAAAGCGGTTTCACTTTAGGTGCAGTTTACATAATTTCATACATAAATAATGCCGTTGAGACTGAGAAAGTTTATTTACATTCGATCGTTACTTCATTTTTATCCGGAGCACTGCATTTGTCGGTAAAGAGAAAGTTGCAGTTTATTAATAAAACTACACGCACGCGTTTCAATAGAGGAGCTAAAATTGTGCGGGTGCTGTATTACTTTGAAATGTTAAGGTCAGAATGAGTAATCCTAGGATTTCAGTAACTACTACTAATATAGGCGGGAGATTGCCTGATTGGATATTATAGGTGTACTTTCCTGAATTTTATACACAAATAACTTCAGGACTGGCAGATACAAGTTAGCTCTAAATATATGTTGTTCTTTCAAAGTAAATGGTAGTTTCATAACACTCCACAGTATCCAAACAATCACAAGTTGGGTTTTCCAGTGTTTGAGGGGGTACTTGGCAGTGTCACAGGTGACTGTAGATGTCCCATAGAGATCACATTAGTGTACTTGATAATCTGAGGATCACATAATTCATATGGAAATCAAGATTATTCTTGTAAAATAATTATGAATTTTTATAAATCCTGGGGAGGAATTGGGGTAACTACATAAAATACACTTGTCCAAAATACCAGACTAAGTAGTAAATGGCTCATTAAAATTAGGCAAATGCAGACAATTTGAACCCAAGGCTAGTCCAATTAGATTAAAAAGGTTAGTTGAAGATGCCAATACAAAAACCAGTTATACCAATTAGATAATTTTTCTAGGAGGGGTGGAAAATGGTAAATGCATTCTAAAAGTGAGATTTAACTATGTTATACAGTGAGGGTAGTCCACAGCCTCATTTTTACAAATGATTTCTTTTGCTACTCATTGTTAGATATTTGTATATATTGTTTCTCCTATATGAGCTTTGTTTTTTTTTGCACCTTTTAATAGAGAATTTCGAACCATGCAGAAACAGTTGGAAAACTGTTTTTTTTTTACTGAAAACTACTCATGTTGCATGCTTTTTGATGGTTGGTTTGTACAACTTTTTTGAGCAAACACTGAATATATCAAAATAATAGTTCAAAATAAGCAAAGCATTTTTATGTGCTTTTTTACACATATTAAAATTATGTGTTGTAATCTATGAAGCAGGCTTTATTCATAGTCCAGTCAAATGGTAAAGAAGTGGTATTTTAAATTGACATTTCTAGCAAAAAGCCTGTTTTAATTGTTACTCCTGTAACATGCCTAGGGATATGACTGTTTTGGAAACAGACATTTGATAATTTCCACCAAAATTAATGAGCACAATGAATTTATAAACCACACTAGTCTCATGAAGTTGAAATTGATCATGTTCTGTTTGATGTATTTGCTGTAATTCATTTATACATTTTAAGTGACCCCAATGATGAGAACTCATGCGCTAGGGAAGGTTTTGCAGAACAGCAGTATGCTGGATATGGTGAGAACCATATTACTTTCCGTAAAGCAGTGGCCCACTGTGCGATGATTATGAGAGCTGAGGGGATTTTTTAAAAAACTGTTTTTTTCTAACTCATATTGAGTACCTTTTGTATCATACCAAAATGATTACAATATTTAAATTCCAGAACACATCTTGGTCTTCTCAATAAAAGAATTTAAAGCCCAAAGGCTTGGAATATCATTTTGATGTTAGTAGTACTTTATTATTAACATAAAATATTAGTAATTGCTTAATTTCTTACTATAGCATATAGCCATGAGGTTAATTTGACATGAGTGGTTATTACCATTTTGCAATTCAATTTAAATGTTGCTAATTTTCAAAACATCACAATTCCAAATAAATTACTGATTTCTTGTTTGCAATTTTGTGCTGTAGTCCTCCGAGTTTTAAAATTTAAAGCTTTTCAAGTTTCTAACCATCTAAGCACATTGCAAAAATTTATGTGCATACTTCAAAAATTAAAATATATTAGCGATGTTTTACTTATCAAATAGACAGTGTAATGAACAACTTACCACAGGAGTGAATTTTAGTGACTGAGCATTTATGATGACTTTGAAATCACATATGTGGCAAATAGTTGACATTTTTGTGTTTGTTGCAAAGGCGGTTATAAGAACAATTCAGTAAAATTGTATAAGTAGATATATGAAGGAAAAGTCATTAAAATCACAATCAAAATTGAAGCTAGGATCAAATTTGTCATTTCTATTTTATATAAATTTTTGGGATGTATGTTATCTAATGTTTTCTGATTAATGGTTAGTTATTTAATCCTTACATGCTTTGTTCCGTCCCATCCCAGTGTAAGTAATGTTTCTGATTTTCCAGAACTAATGTAACTGGATTGTTTAATCACCCACATCTAATAAACACACAAAACATAGGGAAAAGACAATCACAACCCAACTATACAATTCACTGTTCACAATGAAGGAAATTTGTAATGCTCTGTTGAGTTTGGCTAGGTTGTTGAACCACATATACAGGGTATTCTAGATTCTTATACAAAAAAGTAGACTTGCCAAGCTCCCATGCATTAATATTTTATTTCATGTATTTTTGTTGCATCAAAATGAAATTGAGAAATGGAAAAAAGTATGTCTTTTTAACTTTAAATGTTAGACTTGATTACTTTCATAAATTATTGTTTCTTAAAAGTTTTTTGGCTTTTTCATAAAGTGATCTGAAAGATAAACCAAAAAAAAAATCATTGATCTATTGGTTATGGAATATTGAACATAGATGTTTTTCATACGAGAAAAACTAAATTACTTGATCACCAGATGGAAACCTTTATTGAAAACTTCAAGAATTTGTATCAGTTGTTTTATGAAATTCATTATGGTGGAATTTAAAAAGCATTTTTTTTATCATGTAATGTTTTACATAGGGAAGTAGTTGAGCCTACCAAGGAAAAGGAGGTGGTCTGTGAAAAGCCTGTGAAGGCTGACAAGACTGAGAAGGCTGACAAGACCGAGAAGGTAGAAGAGAAGCCTATTGAGAATGGTGCAGAGAATGGAGATAAAAAAGCTGCTGCAGAAAACGGTGATTCCAAAGAGGAAGCCAAGGAGGAGAAACCTGCTGAGAAAGAGACAGAAAAAGCAGAAGCCAAAACTGAAGGTAGGAATTATTGTAATTGTGTTTTCAGTTTAAGCAAAGTCTTGGACCAATGGAAAAAATATTTATCATCATGATTCAAAACCTGCCAACATTGATATTCCATACTAGCTAGCACATCTTCCATTCAAGCTATGCTATCTCCCTGCATACATGTGTCATCATAATTGTAATGATGATATGGAATAAAATAAGATGTTCAATTATACCTTTTTTTTTATGAAAATATGAGTGACAATGCAGCAGCTGTTATCCAAATTAGCGCATCACATTATACACATCCATTTTATTATGCTGCTCAGCTGCCCACTTTTACAACTATACAGCATAAGCCATGCATAACTGTGCATTGAGTGCCAAGCTATCAACTTTATAGAAATCACCTAAAAATTGTGCATAATTTTTAGGTGGCAATGCTTCTGCTTCCCGTAAATGTACACAAAACTTGAAAGGTACTCATTTTCAAGGTCTATTAGTAAGTAGAATATCTGCAATCATTGAGAGCCGCTCAATTATTCTGACCATTGAAATGTATCTTTCAAGTTGACCACCTGCATGACGAAGATGAACCAAAAAATTATAAACTAGACTTCATTGTATTGATGACACATTCATATGTTTATTCTATTTATATATAATGATTAGCGCATAGTTTCATGTACACTAATTCAACATAGTAACTATAAATCAAACATGCTGTTTGCTGTAAGTATACATGATGTCTTATAGCCAGTATTGGTAGTTTTCTTTGAAACATCAAGTTGAACTTTGCTGCTCAAGGCATGGTTGGAATTGTACTTTTATGGTTTTAACTCCTGAACACATTTGGCCATTTTTTTTTTGTATTCTCGACACAACCATTGAAATTTCTATTGTTAGTGCTTTTTTGATCATAGTACTTCTCACACTAAACTTGTAACCTGTTATATGGAATCTCTCATAATACTTTGCTTCCTCTTCTTCAAATGTCAGCCATCTGTTCAATCAAGTTAAAAATATTCTTGCATTTTTATAACCCAGGTCTGGGCTTGATGCCAAACATCACACCTATCCTCTGGATATTCATGTATTCAGGTCAAAATAACCTAAGTTAATCGAAAAAAGACGCGTCCACTGAAGCGCACTATCCACGATGACATAGAAACGCAAAAATATTTAGGTATCTCAGGAGATGAAGTATTTTGGACCAATACATGAGGTCTATTCTTAAAATTTCTAGAAAAACTATTATTTGTGGGTGAAACTCTATTGATTGTATATTTTAAATTCTGAATGCACGTTTTGTTTTGAAAGTACATCAAGGACATAACAAAAAAATAACATTTTTTGAATGACATTGATTTTCATCAACATGTTCCATGATGTATACTAAAAATGCTAGGGGAGGGTTTGTGGAACAGCTGAATGCTGGATATGGCAATAACCTTATTACTTTTTGTTGGGCAGTCGTGGCCACAAAGTCTAGAGGTAGAAGGTTAAACTGCATACAGGTTGTACTTATTCTTATGAAGACAATCCTGTCACCAAGGGTGCTGTGACTCAGAAATCTAGTAAGAGTAGAAGATGGTACAAAGCATCTGAACATTGAAAAATGTCAACATTAGCTGCCACAATCTTATCCCTTATGATAGAATGACAGCTGATTATCTAGTATTTCAATATTCGTCATACCCAAAAAGGACACAATTCTGACTGATCTGTCAATGCCAGGTAGACAGAGCCATGTTTTGTTTTGATTTTTTGAACACTACAGATTCATTTTGTACTTGCTAAAAGTTCTTTTATGTAGAAAAGTTCATTTGCATACAAAAAACAAAGCAAACTGTTACAAACAAGTTTTACTAGATTTTTACACCTGATGGATTATTAGCAATATTGCAGACTAACACAAATTATGTCACTTGCTGATCTGCTGTTCACCTCAGTAGAGATCAAAGCATGATGGATACTCGTGAAATAGAGTATATTCTTTGTAGGTTTATTACTTACTGGTTTATTAATATTATTCAATATTTCTGCTTGCAACTCGTTCAAACTGTCAAAATTGGAGCTGTTACAGTCATGATGACAGCAACAGAGAGATATGCCACCTTAAATTCATTTGCTGTGCGGTGTACCAACTCACTTCATCGTCGACATTTTTTACTTCATCCCCACTCCATGAGTTTAACCCCCTGTCTCTAGTCTTCAGTTTTTTGTTTAAATTACAATTTTAACTGAAATTAGTATATTTTGATCGAGCAAAACTGAATCCAAAAAGTTTTTCCACAATAAACAAAAGGTACGCATTTTTTGTGAGCTGTTAAAATTTTGATTGCCTTCTACTTTATTGCTGATGGTGCACTGTTTTAAAAAAGAATCCTTTAGCAGCCCGCGACATATCGCTTATGAAATTGCATCGAAATGTATTTCCAACAGTGCTGAAAACGCCAATAAATAGTTAGGAAACAATTTCTGACTTCATTTTTTATTTTGGATTAGAGAATCATTGATATTTTAAGTCTTTTGCTAATTACTTTGCTGGTTCTAGTGAATAAATTCTTCCATTCACTTTTTATCAACCTTTATCTACCCTAATACTCCTAATGTATCTATTTCTAAAATAGAACTCATTACTTCATGATTAAATTTCAACACTTGTATATGTATTTCCATAAAGTGATAAAAGTAATGACAAACTATTTACAACTTATCCAAACAACATATAAATATGTTCTAAAAATAATTTAGCTTTGCAAACAGAGACAGAACGTATGGTCGTTTCATTCTTTCTGTAAACCAGAAATTTGTTAATGATTATTTATCGTGGATCAGCGCTCGTTTTGAAATCAGATGTATACCATATTTATGATAAATATTATAGTTGGAGCTCGTATACCGGGACGATTGAGGAATTTCTGATATACAGTGCTTTCCAAAAAGGTGTCGCTACTTATTTTTTGAATGAGTCAAGTTAGCACGCTGAAATTTGGAGTAATGAAATTATCAGTGGCAGCTGAAAATTTCAATATGGCGGGCTGGGTGCCAGTTTGGAAGATCTTACTTCCCACGCGAGTATTGTAATCGCCAAAAAAATCGGAAATGAGATATGTTTTTTCGGATGTTATATGACATGTACATCACGAAAAACCGTCACTCGTTGCCGTCGGTGATCTGTGTGTGTCTGTCCGCTAATGCTAGGCCCGTCTCTTCTGAGAAAACAGTTAGCTACGAGATGTATAACAAAACAATGAGAGAAATTCCTGAAGGCCTTTACTATGCATAGTGCACACAACCCACAACAGTGCCGAAGCGATTGTCGACTGTGACGTACGTTGCACGCATTGATATGGAAATATTTCTATGTTTTAAGGGTAAATGTACGCATCAATGATGCGTGAAATATGCCTAATAGGTACGTAGAATTACTAGGGCTGGAGGCGTATAGAGCTTTTTTGTCCTGGGCATAGTAGTAACATTGTGTCAAAATTTCATCAAAATTCGAATGGTACTTTGAAAGTACGGGCCAAGGATCAGCGGGCCGACAGACCAACGGAAATGAGTGACATGGTTGGAAAAATCGCTCAAACTTTGTTTTTTGACGTTTCAGCAGATCCATGCATTAGTGTTATTGTATGATACGATCATTTCTGGAATTTTGACATTATGGAAGCGTCCATCCAACCGCAACTAATGACGAGTGTTTTTGATACTTTGTCGCTTGAGACGGTAACTTTGCTTGCTAGACTGCGAGCAATGACATGCACTTTTTCAGTCGGTTGTAGGAAAATACTGTGAATGCTGCAATTAAATTAACATTGGAAAATATTCCTAGTCAGGAAACGTCTTCCCGTTTATTGATTAATTTTAGAATAGTCACGCTTATACATATCACTCTCGTTCGCCGTAAGGGTCAATAAACTGGGGAGCCGCATTTTAAAAAATAGCGTTTATGAGAGATATGAATATTTTATTACGCCACCTGACACATTCCCGTCTTGCATTACTTACAGGATGTTGTATAAATGTAGAACCTGCTATCTAGTGTCGAGTGTCATTTTCTTGCTGCTTAGTGCAGTCAACCGGATTTCAGATGTAGGTATGCTTTGGTAATATGACCGATTTTGTTTAAAAACGACCGTTATTTACGTGAAAAACGTCGATAAGGCCGAGCCCGTTGTACATATAATTGAGGATTTAAACTTCCTTCTTTATCTTCACAAGTATATTGAAGTAACTTAACGGACGTTTTATAGTCACAAAAGACAAAAGTCTTTTTTCCAAGAAGTTATCGTCAAGTTTTAAAAAATAAAGGCTTAAAACAATAAGCAAATTGGACTGTAGGACATTTTAGAATCTTTTTTTCCTCAGAATTTGGCTTGATTGTAGGCCTCACATTTTATTTCCTAAATTTCATTTTACGACTATTCATTGTTTTGGTTTAATATTCATACGAAGTTGGCATTGAAAGGATGTCAATGGACGTTTTTAAAAAGGCTACTTTTTATATTGGATTATTTCCAAAACTATGTGAAAAATTAATCTTTTGGCTTGATGTTTTCCATTATTCTCATAGTTGGTGCTGAAAAATTGAAATACTATGACAGTAAAGGTTATGACAATCACCAAGAAAGCATTGACTCTGTGGAAACAGCTAACATATATTGGAAAAATAACTACCGATAATTCTTGGAGGGGATCACATTTTACATATCATTCATTATGTGAGGTATCTGCTTCTACCAGCTACAAAGTGGCATTCTCAAAGTAAATTTACGTGAAATTATGCCTCAGTGAAACAAGCTTATTACGCTATAGATTTTTATGCATGTCACGAGAACCCAGCTGTTTTCCTAGTGAAGTTTAAGATGTCAGACCATGCCATCCCTTTCACATCACATCTGATCAGAAAATTGTTCCTTAAGGGATTTTTGCACTTCAACAAATTACAGGCACATTCACTTATCTGAAGCATTTGTGCCAGAAATGATAGTCACCATGTTGGGGTCAATGTCGCGGCTCATGTTGCGCGCTGGATTCACTTGGCGCGGTTTTGTCGCCGGCGCTTATTTTGCAAATATGGCAGACCGTCTCTGTTTGAGTCTGCGGAAACCAAAAGTTCGCCAGTTTTTGGTGGAATCGCTTTAACATATTTGAATCTCAAAAACTCTTAAGTACCTTACAGAGCAAGGTTTTAACTTTAATTCAAATACTTGGCGGCCTCAAACATAATTTTTAACCGATTTTTAAGCATTGAATATACCCCCACAGTAACCCACAAATTTGTTTGAACAATTTTTTAAAATAAATTACATTTTTTTGCCCGGATAAATTTGTTTCGGGTTCTTTTCATCATTCTGAACAAAAAGGGATTCCATTAACTTTTCTTTAAAGCCGACCATTTTCGAGTTATAAACGATAATGTATGAAAAGCCCTAAAAATGGATATATTCAATGTTTAAAAACTCGTTAAAAACTATAATTTCTGAGGTCTCCACGTATCAAAATTAAAGTTTTGTTGCTTTAGACCTTAAAAAGTATTTCGAGATTACTTTATTTCAAAGTGATGGCATGTTGGGCCAAAATTGGGAAACTGGTTTTCACAGCAGTATTTGAGTTTTTAAATATTGATATTTCAAACGACCGAAAGCCTGAAAAACTGTTTTGGACATTGAGCATTAAATAGGGTTAGTAATATGTATAACTTGAGCAAAAGAATCATATGAATCATATTTTTTGTTTCGTATTATTGAAAATTCCACTTGAATTTTGACTTACATGTTACACAATGTAATTTTGCATGTTCCAATGTTTTTAAAATGCATGAGGGGAACCCAGACAAAGCAAACACACTGGGAAAATCAATTTTTCCATTTGACACACAAACCATGAATTGGCCAACACGAAAAAAAAAAACGTAGAAACTATTTGTTCAACATTTCCTAAATAATCTGCACTGGGTTGTAGGAATACCTACCTGCTTATTTGATTACCGAACAGCAAAATGTATTTTTTGAACAAGAAAAACAAAGATTTTGATTACCATCTACACCTATATCAGGAGGATTTAACCAATGGTTTGATATAAAACATGAATTTTCCTAAATAATGATTTCTGACAAAGCAGCGAAGTAGATAGTGTATGTGTCGGTAACCTTGTTCTACGCATCCTCCGTTAATGAAGCGTTTTTTCAGCAAAAATAAGCATGTTTGAAAAAACTTAGACGTGATTTTTGAAATGACCGATTTGTATTTGTATATTTTCTTTCAGATAAATGCACAGTAAAGAGGAAATCCACAGGCGGCGGTGACGTGACAGACAGCGCTGCTGCTGCAGCAGAAGAAGCGTCGCCAGAGAAGAAGGCCAAAGTGGCGGCGAATTCCGAAAAAGAAGCGGAAGTAACAGCCTAAACGTCCCTTCACTCCGCCCTTTTCACACACCTTCCTCTCTTTAATTGATAAATCGCTTCTTCGAATTTGTATTTTTTATATATACCTATTATATAAATAGATTGTATATGTATAATGTTAGGGCAGAGTGTATGAGAGCGTGCTGAAGTGACGTTGTTGAATAAGACAAGTCTCCAGATAGTAGGCAACCTGCATGGATGTTTTGTCATATGTTGTGTTGCTGGTTGACATTGATGTATGACATATGCACATATGGTGCTGATCATTGGAGGCTCCGTTTCAAACTGGCGCCCTAGCGTTGCACATATTCTTTACTACACATGGCACAGTTATTTTAGAAGGTCGCATTTATTTTTAGTTTTCTAACGGTATCCGTGAAGTGTGGATGTTCATATTCATTATTAATTAGGTGATTTACGAATGCTCCGCTCACTTTAGATTCTGTTCACAAAAGGTTTATGTTTCCATGTTTCCTGACATATCATGTTGCCGTTCTTTTCAGTAGTCGCCCAGTTTGTTCAGAATATTCCCTACTTTTGAAGTCAATAACCAAAAACAAAAGCAGTCTTGTTGATATCAGTATTTATTGACAAATATTTTTTGGTGAATAGAATCGAGGGGTGGTGCGGGGCTTTGAGTTAGGACGGGTGTCAAGATTATATGAGTGGTGCGTTCATGTACTTATTTTTGTTCATTACGTTTAGTCCTTTTCAGAATTTTTTTAGTTCTCGACATAATAATGTTAGTTTCCTCTTTGATCAGATTTAGACATACATGTTGTGAAGTTTAAATGTAAAAAATAACGATAAATAATATCTGAAGCGACACATAGTGTTGTTGTCTCTGAAGGAATCCTGTTACATGTATAAAAACGTGGTGAATCTCTGCTCTGCCAATACCTGACTAACCCAGTGGTTTCTAAATGTGTTCATATCAAAATCTAATTTTATACCGCTTGTTTTATACTATAAGCTAAATTAGTTTCCAATATGGCAACTATTGTAGCTAACTAACAGTATTTTATTGCTATGTTAAGAAATAAGTTACAGAAAATTAGGAATATTATCACTATCATTCTAAAATCCACTGGAATTTATCACAAAGTGTATTGGTATTACGTGACAAACGAAGCAATTATCAGGACATCATTTTGTAATTCTGAAGATTCCTTGTTTCTGTAATTTTTTTCTTGCTGTCAGTAAGTTTATTTTAAAATGGTAAATAGTCGTTCTCAATGGAGCATCAAATGCCGTTATGGTACAAATGTTTGTATTTTATTAATGGTATGGCAATAAAGAGTTAGTTTCCAGTATATCATTTAAGTTTTTTTTATCTTTGATAGCTGATAAAGCCGTCGGTAGGTTGTAAAGTCTACGTTCGGCGTTTATCAACTGTGTTCTGTCGCGGACCCTTAGGAAGTCGAGCACAGATCTAAGGACTCTTAAAATAAACATTTCCCTCTTTGAGGGATATGTTTACGTCATACCATAAATTGTACTAAAGTAATCAATCAACGTACGTCTATGATAAAATCACGATCAGGAACATAATGACAAATTTATATTATGATTTTGCGAAGTTAGGTTATTTCACCGATTATTTTTATTTCATGGTTTTGAGTGATACCTTAATAATAATTTTAGATGGGAGTTTTTGTTAAAAAAAAAAACAGTTGAGTAGAATACCTTAAGACAGCAGGACCAAAGACTAAAGTATCCTAAAACAACCTAACCTAACTATTGATCTTTCAAATATGATCGATCATGCAACATGAAAACTTCTATCTTTGTCGAATACATGCAAATTGGCATACAGTTTGTTCAGACAATAAAATTCTGTTTGTCTCTGTCTTACATATCTGAAACTTCATTAAAAATATTCACAAATCGCTGTCGTTTGTCTTTACTACAGACTAAAATGATGATGTAATCGTCATGTTTCGTGATTTCGACTATAGATACAACGGCGATGCTGATTTGACAGTGATAGTAGTGATGGGAGAGGCGAAGCCTGCCATTCCTGTAGTACCAACACTACTACACATTCTATACCCTGATACCGAAAAGGAAGCAAGCAGTAAAACACATCACATCCAGACGCGGCGTTCCGGTGAATTCACAAGTTCCCCATTCCTTTTTTTATTAGCTCAAATTAAATTTTAAGAAAAATGGAACAAGATGCTGAGAAAATTATCTCTAAATACAAAAACGTTGCGCCCCGCAAGAGTATTTTTATTCCGTCTGTACGCGACGCGTGACGTGAAACTTCACTGGCGGACTCAATTTCCTAAGTACGCACGCATCTAGGTACACATACAGCAGAAACACCTGGCTAAGCGTCTTCTGCGCCAATTTGTGCATATACGATCGGTTATAAGCGAAATAACAAAAAAAGGTTATGAATATTGTATCGTTCCAAAATGTACGAGCACAACAATTACAACCCCTAATAATTTTTTCTCACATGAAAATATTAGGAAGAAATAATGAAAACTTATGATTTGATTGGAGCAAAAAGTACAACATATGTCTGTGAAGACCACTTTGATATGCGTAGGTATATCACTTTATTTATTTATTAATAATAAATAATATATATTATATATATATATATTATATGATTTCCAAGCTTATTTCACTGTACATGCGGCATTTGGCGGGAAAAAATGTATTAACTAATTTCAGAAAAGTAACACCTCTATCAAATTAGGTTACTTCAAATTTCGACTTCGAATGCCTTTTCGTTATGACAAATTGAGAATGATATTGAAAATCTGATAAAATATAAACTATTCGGTGGAAGATTGAAGCTGAAATTAAGTTTGACCACCAAAAACGTGTGCGGCATTTAAAAGAATGCGGAGCATATGAGAAAAGGCGTCGCGCAGGATACTTAGACGACTTGTTGAAGAACCATGTTCCCTCCACATCAAGTTGGCAGCCATTCGAATTAATTCAGTGTGACTCAACTTACGAAGTAACGAAAGCACTAGAATATCCACTGCTTCAAGATTATACTGTAATCTACTAATGTAGCAGGTGATCATGAAACAAAAATTAATCACAAAAAAGTGAATCTTGTATTTCTATGTTTGTATCTGTAAAGTAAGCCATTACTTGGGTCTTATTAAGTTCTCTTCGCTCTTCGTTTACATTCATTAATGAGTCTATGGAAGAAGTTAGGATCCACTACTACGTCTAAATTTTAAGAACTTCCACTTTCGTTATTGTAATCATTCGCTTTAATAAACTTAATACTACTGAACAACTTATAGCGCCGGTTTCATCCAGTAACATTCTACTGAAGTACTTGTAGGTTCCTCGCTTCTTTTCAAAAGCCAGATCAAAAACGTTATTGTGTGTTTACATCCAAAAAGCTTAGCAGTACAATTATGACACACAACAGTTCAATGTTTTCCTCACTTTCGTGACAGACCAATGTACAGTGGTAAGGCGTAGTTGTCACTTCATGTTCAGGTGTAACTTTGCATATTACAATGCGTTTAGTACCTTTACGTTTCAACTGAACATAACCAATAGCAGCTTTACGATACGAATCTCTACCTGTCCTGGAAAATATCGTGTCATTTTCGCAAATCTGTACTCATATTAGACATCAACACTAATTTGTTTAAAACCTCAATAAGATTTCGCACATTTTACAGCTAGTTGTGATAGAGTAGCAGTAGGCATAAATCTTTACTTCCAAAGTTTCACACCTTTTATTTCCGCGCTTGTATATGATGGATTTGAAGAAATAAATTCCATCACTGCATAAATTTCAATTTTGGGCAAATTTTCACTTGAACCTTTTACAAATCGAGCTTCCATAAATCTAATGGTACGAAGTTACGCAGTACTCAATAGTTATCGACCAGAAACCACGTGGCCGAGCGCATAGGTGTGTCTTATGAATTGTCTATTGACTAGACTAATTACTAAACGCACAGACGCGAACTGACGGCAGCAATGATTTCGCGCTCTAAACGCGACAAATTTAAGTATTAATTTTTCTGTCACTTATTGACCGATTTTAATAATTTTCAACAACAATACTTTCAGTTATAAAATAGACATTGTAGTGACTTGTATTAGCATTGATTCACGTATTCTATCTGATAGCCAACCTAATGGTATGGCGTTCAAAAAGTTTTTCGAGATGAAATGAGAATATTAGCGTCATCTATGAGAATTTGTCACAGCTGTTTCTCTATTTATTATATATACTTTGAAAAGGTGAGTGCTCATAGATCAAGCTGTAGCCAACTCAAATGAGCACATACGAGTATAAAGGGAGCGCCATCTATGATACACTTACTTTTATATATAAGCAGCTGTGTCAAATTCTCATAGATGACGCTACGGTATCCCGTTTTATTTTGGATAAGTTTTTGGACGCGTGCATATAGCATTAGGTTGGCTATCTTCAGGTAGAATACGTTTCTATGCTTGTAGTAATCAATGATTGTTAGAAATATTTAAAAATGGATATAGCTATACATAAATTCATTATCTACCTAGGGAAAGAAGTGTAACTTCTTAGAGCAATTCGGTAAATAATGGAGATTTCTCAGAGGTTAGTAGCTGAAAAATGATTTCCATCAGCCGTGGATGAGGAGGCTAAAATAAGTTTTCACCCATTGAGAAAGAGAAGCGAGACTTCCCGTTGGTTCCTATGCATAAAATCAAGGCGACGTGTCACGTTTGAGGTGTCAATGGAAAGTTTCGTCGCACATCGCTACGCCTCAGTCGGCGTGCAACTTAAAGGGTCCTGTAGGGGATAAAATAAGTTGAGTCTAACATCTGGGAATCTGGGATACATTTTCTAGAGCTCTTTCAACCAACTGTTGCCGCTCGTAGGCCATTTACGACTCAAATGATTTTGTTCGATAGATTTTGTACATTCTTTGCATTCGACGGTAAATTTGGAACTCAAAAATAGAAGTGCAGATCCAGCCTTTAAGTCCCCCATAGACGTCTGTCACGTGCTTTTGTAATGTAACACCACCATTGTTGTGTGACTTTCTGACACATCATGGCGACAGAGGCATACTAACTATAAGTTATAGCTAAATAGCTATAGGAACTGAGCATTCCGATTTTTTGGTATCCTTTGGTATTCTAAATATTGTCTCTCTTTGACATCACTTGTTTACAGCACAATTCTTAGGATTTATACGTTTATACGAGTATTGCGACCTGTGACAAATCTAAGTCTGGGTAATATATTAGCTATACAGATTGCACTTAAAAAGTGATTTATGTTATGTTTGTTGCTCAATAGTAATTTGAAAAATGTGTGCTTGACTGATTTTGTTTGGGGTTGGTGTTGCAGCGAAGCACTATGTTAGATGAACGCCTAAATTGGAAATAGACAGTTATGAGATTTGTTTAGCGGTGCGCCTGTGGCCTGGCCAGAAAGACAAGGACCAGTCGACTGAGGCGGTACCACGGGCTAGCTTTTCAAAGGGTGTCTTATAAATGTCCGCATGTTTCCACACCTAAGCTATGCAGTCGGTTATCTTCTAAAACAAAGAAATTAATGATGATGGATCTCTCGGGTACTAAGAATTACGGATGTAAGCCCACTCCACTCTCGGAATGCCCCGGGTGGCGTGTGGACTCGAGGGAACAACATCGAAGATAAAATGTTTCACGAACATATGCGGGATCAACAGCAACATTGATGCTGTTCATGACTACGTGCAATTCAATAATCATGTCATATTTTTCTTGGCGGATACAAAAATCTCAGATTCTGCACCGATTAACCATCTTAGCTTTCCAAATTACGAGGTGCACTCCAATCTGAGAAAGAACGGGGGAGTTGTGGTCTTTGTCCGCAGTAGTCTTTCCTGCTGCAGAGATGTTTCTCTGGAATCAGACCGGAAGGACATTCTGTGGTTTCGCCTCAACTCCAAAACATCCCTCAAATGTATTTGATACCTTTATCACTTTCCCTCGGACCATCACTGGGATGACCTTCTTGAATACCTCGCCATCAAGATCGACTTCCTGAATATCAATCACCCCGGTTCGGAGGTAGTGCTCCTCGGTGACTTCAATGTCCATGATTTACTTTGGTTGGGTTCAAATAAGACCAAAATAAGACCGATGCAGCAGGTCGTGCAGTTGGAGCGTTCGCTCTTACTTAAACGCTGACCCAACTGGTGACGGGCCCTAATTTTTTCCCCCGCGTCTCGTCACACGCCAGTAGCCTGTTGGATCTCTTTCTGACCACGCATCCTGTCCCTTACAGCACTGCTATCCTGTCCCCCCCTGGGTAACTCAGACCACTGTGTTGTGAAGGTTAGGTTT